TTTTTCCCTCCTCTCTTTCTTTATTTCTTTTTTTCTACTTAGCAATCCTGAGCAATCCTCCAATTTATGGAGAGGCCACCGTGGGCAGCAAGCCACCAGCTGCCCACGTGTCTAAGTCCCACTCGCTTGCCTTAATTCATACTTATCCAAAATATTTAACTTTAAAATAATTTTACTATGCCCCAAATTTTAAACTAATTATATATGTATATATATATTTCGATAATCTCATTTATAATTAAACAATACGAATATAAAATTTAAGGGACAATTTAAATTCTCGGGTTACATTATATCATATGTGGATAGGGAGCATATAATTTGAAACCTTATTATCTAACCGTGTGGGAAACACAATGAATAAAATAAGTGCTAATTAAAAAGAACATGAAAACACTCAGATGATAAATAAGGATTTTTATTTCATAATGAGTTGAATACATGTAACCATAGATTGGCCCAAAAGTCAGTACAATATTTCAGTTGTTTCTTTACAATAGATTTTCTACTCTTAAGAGATGAGAACAATTGAATGGCTGTAGCCATCTCCTTCTTTTGATTAGCTAGTCCTTGATTAGTGATTTTGTCACGCCCCAAAATTTTGAGACCGCAAGAGAAATATATAAAGTACAACTCAAACAAAAGAGATAACCACAACATGTTAATATACACATACAAGCAGAGTTATAACATAGATAACTGATTTGAGTTCCACTAGAGGTTTACAAACATTGTCAAACCAAAAGGTAAAGGAAGAGAGAACACAAAAACAAACTACTAGTCCAAGTTTTCAGGTGAACCATGGCTCTAAAACTTCATCTTGATTGTCTTCGGGATCACCTTTCCCGTCGTAAGCTACTTCTTCACCTGGCATGACACGCCATGAGCTTGGAATGCCCAGTAAAAACACACATACCCCCATATCTTCTATCAATCAATCATACACAAGACAAATCAGATAACATAACATACTTCCATTAAGGTTTTATAAATTAGTAGTTAGACTACGCATTTAGAATCCCTCCCAAAGAGATCCTTCTACCCAACTACAAGATTAAACGCTGGACTACTCAGAACTCCCCCTTTTGCTGCTTTGCAGACCTTACCACCCATGCCCACCTCCCGGTTATTTACCTGTCAGTGGCATTGATGGACCTCAAAAGGGACGGCCAACAAGTGGGCTCGCTTACACCCAAATCGTGCCTCGGGCTCGCTTACACCCTGCACATACCATACCAATTCGTGCTTAGGGCTCGCTTACACCCTGAAACCACCGCATAGAGTCTGAATACATTCGGGTCAACCTAGGGGCTCGCCTAAACTGCTTACGCAAGACTTAACTCATTTGATATTAATCCCATCCTAATTCATGTCATGCATATGTATAAAATTGTTCTAAAACACTAAGATAAACGTCACCCATTGCCAACCCTTTATCATTTCCCGTTTATTAGATCTTTTGCTAGGTAAGTTAGTCATATTCGGTAATTCGGTCATTTAAACGAGTATGGGAAAAACATACTAGAGGAAATATAGTCCATGGTCATCATACATAAGTATAGTAAGGCAAGAAAATAACATTAAAAAGGCTTTGAAACATTTAGAGACAAATAACATAATATAGCACAATTTCCAGCACTGTTCGGTTCTACAGGGCTAACAAGAACGCTTTGGTAAAAATACTTCTAGGCCAAATTAGGGGCTGAAATTGCACAGAAACAATATTCAATCTGTCTAGTTTCAGTTCCAATTTTCAGAAGTTGCGCAGCTCCTCCACAAATTCATTTACAAACTATATTCGAAAATCTATCTAGATTTGTCACCCTTTGGGGAAACTAACGTTTCTCTCAATCTACCGGATGGTTTTCACTCAAATAAAATCTGTTGGAAAGAGGACTCAGAGTTCTAAATTTTGACAGAAGAACCAACATGAGATGATTTTTCTAGAATTTTATAAAATTGATAAAAGTGGACTGTTTTTTAGAGATTCAGGACCAGATTTTTCAACAAATTATCCAAGCCCTAAAAGCACACAATTAGGAGCTAATAAAATTTTCACAAGCTCTAAACACATAAAATATCCTAAAATAAATTCAAATTTGAGAATTAGATAGATTTGATATTTCTTTTAAATTAGAGAAGTTGCAGCAGTGCCTAATTTCACAAGTTTGCAAGACAATGATACTATTTCATACCTACACCTTCACACACACCAAAAACACCCTATTTACCATCAATTTGTAACACAAGAGGCATACTAGACCATAGAATGAGATGATGAAAGGATTGGAGAAAATAAGGAAGAGGTATGTTCTTACCTTCAAGAATTCCTTCTCTTTCCCCTTTTTTTTTCTTCTTCTTCTTACTTCTCTACCTCCCTTCCCTTGAGCCAACTCTCCCTCTCTCACCCTCTCCTTGGGCTTTAGAAAAACGTGGGAGTGGATTTGGACAAGCCCTCAATTTATATAATATAAGGTAGCTTAATGGCTAAGATAACTAAATATCTAGATAGTTATTTATTTATTTATTTATTTTATTTTATTTTATTTTTGTTTGTTGTTATCCAATCACTTTTCCACCAACATATTATATATATATATATATATGAATATATTTAAACTATGTATATATCCAAATAAACAATAGTATTCCATTCAAATAAATAATAAATGAAAGAACAACAAAAACCAAAAAAAATAGAAATAAAATAAAATGCGTGAATTAATTTAGAAATTATGAGGCAAAATAAATAAAACCAAGTTTTAGGATAGTTCCAATCATAAAGTGGCATTTTATGATTTAATTATGGTAACACGCGGAGAAGTTATTATTTACTTAGGCCCTTACACAGACTTTTACGGAACTAGGGCTAAAATGCTATTAGCCTAAGGCTCAGGGTTTCAAGTGTAATGACAAAAAAAATTAGGGTCTCTACAACCTATCCCCCTTAAATAAATTTCGTCCTCGAAATTAGATCATACCTTACGTCTCAAATAGTTGTGGATAATTTGCCCGCATCGCATCTTCACGTTCCCAGGTGAACTCTTCAATACCATGGTGTCGCCAGAGTATCTTAAGAAGGTGAATTGTCTTCCCTCGCAAGTTCTTTTCTTGACTGTCTATAATTGCTACAGGTCCTTCTTCAAAGGTAGCGTCCTCATTAAGTTGAATTTCTTTCCAATTGATGATATGAGAAGGGTGCATTATGTACTTTCGCAGCATAGATACATGGCAAACATCATGTACTCCAGCCAACTGTGGGGGTAAAGCCAACTTGTACGCAACCTCTCCGATTTTCTGAAGTATCTTGAAGGGTCCAATATATCGAGATGATAATTTTTCTTTCTTTCCAAAATGAATGATCCCTCAGCGGGGCTGAATTTTCAGGAAAACATAATCACCGGCAGCGAAGATTAGCGGTCTTCTCCTTTTATCTGAATAACTCTTCAGACGATCTTGAGCTGCCACTAATCTTTGTCGAATAAGTTTCACCTTTTCTGTAGTTTCTTGCACGATCTCTGGGCCCAATAGACTCACTTTTCCAACTTCAGTCCAACAAACTGGTGATCTGCAAGGCCGACCATACAATGCTTCGAATGGAGCCATGCTAACACTAGCCTGGAAACTATTGTTGTATGTGAACTCTACCAACGGTAGGTGTCGCTCCCAATTCCCCTTAAAATCCATCACACAAGCTCTTAACATGTCCTCCAAAGTCTGAATGGTACGTTCCGACTGTCCGTCAGTTTGAGGATGGAATGTGGTACTGAAACATAATTCGGTCCCTAATGCTTCCTGTAAGCTTCCCCAGAATCGGGAGGTGAAACGTGGGTCCTGGTCGGACACAATCGATACAGGAATTCCATGTAATCGGACAATTTCTTTAATGTAGAGATGACTCAGCGATGTCAAAGTGTCGGAGATTTTATATGGCAAAAAGTACGCAGTTTTTGTCAAACGATCAACTATAACCCATATAGCATCATATCCTCTCGGTGACCTGGGTAGTCCAGTGACGAAGTCCATTGTTACATGCTCCCATTTCCATTCTGATATCGGCAAGGGCTGAAGCATCCCTCCACGTCGCTGGTGTTCTGCCTTTACTTGCTGACACGTAAGGCATCTGGCTATGAATTGAGCCACATCTTTCTTTATTCCCCTCCACCAATATTGACGTTTTAAGTTTTGGTACATTTTCGTCCCTCCTGGGTGCACTGCGAACACTGAATGGTGGAACTCCTTCAGAAATTTTTCTCTAAGCGACTCATCTTGTGGTACCAACACGCTACCCTGATGTCTCAAACCTCTATCTGAATGAATCGTCCAATCAGATATAGAATCGCCGGATGTTATTCGAACTTTTAAGAACGCCACTTCCTGGTCATACTTCTGTGACTCTATTACCTCGTTCATTAATTTGGGTGTAGCGATTTGAGCGCCAAGGTATACCTTCTTGTCTTGAGCTTTCATCTGTACTCCAAACTCATTAAGTGTTCCGACCATGTTCCATTCCTTGAGTGCCAAGCTAGCAATAATTCCCCGATTCTTGCGACTCAGGGCATCCGCCACCACGTTAGCTTTGCCAGGATGATAGGATAGAGTAAAATGGTAATCTTTGAGGTATTCTAGCCACCGTCTTTGTCTCATGTTCAAGTCCTTCTGCGTGAACAAATACTTCAAGCTCTTATGGTCCGTGAAAATCTCAAATTGTTCACCATACAAATAATGACGCCACTGCTTTAACGCAAAAACCATTGCTGCAAACTCTAGATCGTGTGTCGGATAATTCTTTTCATGCAGTTTCAGTTGCGTGGAGCCGTAAGCCACCACCTTCCCTTTTTACATTAGTACACAACCTAGCCCATCCTTGGACGCGTCGCAATATACCGTATATCCTATGTCTCGCTCCGGAATGATGAGTATTGAGGCACTAGTCAATCTGCTCTTGAGTTCTTGAAAGGATTGTTCACATGCTTCGTTCCAATTGTATTTTACCCCTTTTTGCATTAGACAAGTCATCAGCTTAGCTAGTTTAGCAAAGTCTTGAATAAACCGTCGGTAATAGCCGGCCAACCCTAAGAAACTACAAACTTTGAATACTGAGGTTGGCTGCTTCCAATCTAATACTGCTTCCACCTTGGCCGGGTCTACAGCGATTCCATGCTCCGACACGACGTGTCCCAAAATCGCATTTATTTACTTTTGCGTACAGCTGGTTGTCTCTTAAAACCTGGAGAACTACTCTCAAGTGTTGCTCATGTTCTTCTTCCGATGGTGAATAGACTAGAATATCGTCGATAAAAACCACCACAAACTGGTCCAAGTACGGAATAAAAATCTTATTCATCAAGCTCATAAACACGGCTGGTGCATTGGTTAATCCAAAGGGCATTACCACAAATTCGTAATGGCCATATCGGGTTCGGAAAGCAGTTTTTGGTATGTCATCATCAGTGACTCGCAATTGATGATAGCCAGATCTAAGATCAATCTTTGAATAACACTTCGAACCTCGAAGTTGATCAAAAAGGTCATCAATCTGTGGAAGTGGATATCGGTTCTTGATCATCACCCGATTGAGTTGCCGATAATCTATGTACAACCTTAGTGTTCCATCTTTTTTCTTTGCAAATAGAACTGGTGCGCCCCACGGTGAGGAACTTGGTCGGATAAATCCCTTGTCCAATAATTCTTGCAGTTGCGTCTTCAACTCTAGAAGTTCGGCAGGAGCCATATGGTGGGGCGTTAGGGATATTGGTGCAGTACCCGCTTGTAACTCAATACTAAAATCTACATCACGATACGGCGGTAATCTTGGCAATTCTTCAGGAAAAACATCAGCGTATTCACGAACTACACGCGAAAGATTTAATTCTAATCGGGCTTCTTCATTAATGATCAAACTTGCTAACCATCCAGCAAATTGTCGATGCCACTGCATTTTACGATTTGTCGTGCTCAGGGAATCCTCTCTATCCCTCTTAAATTCTAAACACGTTCCACTAGGTGTGCAAACCGTCACCCTCTTGTAGTAGCAATCAATCACTGCTCGGTGGGCGGATAACCAATCCATTCCCAAGATTATGTCAAAATCGGACATGTTCATGACCCGAAGGTCACAACTCAAGTGTAACCCTGACACTTCTAATTCACACCCTCGACAGACTAATCCTACCCTAATACTTCCTCCCAAGGGTGATACAACACGTAAAGTAGTTTCTAAAGGTTCACATTTAAGACCTAATGATTTAACACATGATGTTGATATAAAAGAATGCGATGCGCCAGAATCAAATAGAATGTGAACCCAAGAATTATAGAGTACAATGTTACCTCTAATTACTGATGGATCTCCATTATCTTCCTCTTGGAGAGCAAAAACTCTGCCTGTGGCTTTTTGATTACCAGTTGGTCCAACCTTTCGGTTTCCTCCTGACTTGTTCGTCCATGGCCTTTGCCCGCCAATAACTTGAGCATTCGCACTTGAACCCCCTGCTTGATTTCCCATCCCAGAAAGTTGGGGACATTCCGACTTCTTGTGCCCTATCTGATGACAGTGAAAACATTGGATTTGTGTAATAGGCTTGGTTTGTAAACTTCCTTTCTGGCTTTGCTGTTGCGACAGTCTGGTGTATGGTGTCCGTACCACATTCCTTTGGTCATTTATTCTTGGTCTTACAAAGGATTGACCCCCTTTCTTCGTTTTCATCATCCAAATCCTTTTTGAGTCTGTGCACTCTCTTTCTATATCCAATGCCGTATCCACCACATCAGCAAATGTATGGAGGCGCAAGGGTAACACTTTACCTCTAATAATAGGGTCTAAACCCCACTCAAATTTTCGTGCTTTCTCTTCCTCATCTGCGACGTATCCGGCTGCGTATCGAGCCAGCTCTTCAAACTTGGCCACATACTGAGTCACTGACATCTCACCCTGTTTCAAAGTTTGAAATTGCCAAATTCGCTCTTGTCTAACTGTGTTTGGGAAATATTTTCTTAGAAACAATTCTTTGAACTGAGCCCAAGTCATGCTTGTCGTGTCCCGAGAATTTTTCATCAAGGACCACCAATGATCCGCTTCTCCTTCTAGCTGATAACTTGCCAGGGCGATCTTGTCTGTATGCACAGTAATACCCATGGTTTCCAACATCTTTTTTATTTGACGAATCCAGCTCTCAGCGACTCTCGAGTCAGGCTCACCTGTGAACACCGGCGGTCTTTGCTTTCTGAACTCAGATAACAAATATATTCGCTCATTTGGTTGCGTTCTTCTAAGCCTTCCTAACTCTTCAAGAATCTGGTTTCCGACTGGTCTTGGCAACTCCTCAACAGGAATAGGTCTACCGCGATTAACGCCTTGATTGCGAGCTGGACGTCCTCGTCTGCGTCTTACTTGATCGTTTGCTTCCACATTGTTCACCATCTGCCAAGTTTGTGGGTAATATAAGCTTGGGGTTGTTGTAGAGGCAAAGAGGTGTTCAATAAATAGGCTAATTTAATGTGGTCTGAGGTGTAATTAATTACTTTAATTTTTTTTCTAAATGGATGATGCAATTAAACCAAGCAAAATAAAATAAAATAACATACAATACACTGGATTAACCAACTAGATATTTTATATATACACATATAACTTCTTCTTTCATAGGGTTACACTATCTAGGTTAGCGTGTAGTGTGTATACACCAAAACAAAACACGCTTCAACCAGACAAAACACTATTTACAAAGGTACACAAAAAGGTTCGTCCCATGACTACTACAACCCTAAGTCAAACGATTCCTCTGGGTCTTCATCGGGATCTTCTTCGGGATCCTCTAGTGGTAAAGGAGCATATGTCGGGGAAGCTGAAAACTGTTGGGCTGGTGTAGGGGAGTACTCTGACGACACCTCTATAGGGAATGTAGGGGAAGCTCCAGGAAGTACCGAGATAAAAGGAACCTCTAACTCAGGATGATGAGAGCCACAGCTCTCGGGTCCAACGCGACGCATCACTGGATGCGGATCCTCAGCCAATACCTCTTGCCTAAGCTCAGCAAAAGTCTGACCATTCTGCTCTATCTGCAGAGTGAACCTAAGCTCCCGGTATTTGCACTGGAGGCGTCGGCGTACCAACGCTCGTTTTGCTTGCGTGGTGTAGTATGAAAAATCCTCATCTGTTTTCCGAATAGCTTTCTTTATCACGCGCTCTGCTCCAAATTGACACCGTCGGTTAAGTCTTTGTGGACTAACAGCTACTGCCCACCTATTCTGGAAACGAAAAACTCCCCAGTCATCAACGCTTTCTGACGCAGAATCCATCCTGCGGTAGGTAAACAAATTTTTTTATTTTTTTTAGTCCACCTTTAATATGATATAATATAATGTTAACAGAATGTAGTAATGTAAAAGGCAAGGATATCTAAAATCACAAGTCAACACGCATGGGTTAAGGGTTGAACCTAGGGCTCTGATACCAATTTGTCACGCCCCAAAATTTTGAGACCGCAAGAGAAATATATAAAGTACAACTCGAACAAAAGAGATAACCATAACATGTTAATATACATATACAAGCAGAGTTATAACATAGATAACTGATTTGAGTTCCACTAGAGGTTTACAAACATTGTCAAACCAAAAGGTAAAGGAAGAGAGAACACAAAAACAAACTACTAGTCCAAGTTTTCAAGTGAACCACGGCTCTAAAACTTCATTTTGATTGTCTTCGGGATTACCTTCCCCGTCGTAAGCTGCTTCTTCACCTGGCATGACACGCCATGAGCTTGGAATGCCCAGTAAAAACACACACACCCCCATATCTTCTATCAATCAATCATACACAAGACAAATCAGATAACATAACATACTTCCATTAAGGTTTTATAAATTAGTAGTTAGACTAGGCATTTAGAATCCCCCCCAAAGAGATCCTTCTACCCAACCACAAGATTAAACGCCAGACTACTCAGAACTCCCCCTATTGCTGCTTTGCAGACCTTACCACCCATGCCCACCTCCCGGTTATTTATCTGTCAGTGGCATTGATGGACCTCAAAAGGGACGGCCAACAAGTGGGCTCGCTTACACCCAAATCGTGCCTCGGGCTCACTTACACCCTGCACATACCATACCAATTCGTGCTTAGGGCTCGCTTACACCCTGAAACCACCGCATAGAGTCTGAATACATCTGGGTCAACCTAGGGGCTCGCCTAAACTGCTTACGCAAGACTTAACTCATTTGGTATTAATCCCATCCTAATTCATGTCATGCATATGTATAAAATTGTTTTAAAACACTAAGATAAACGTCACCCATTGCCAACCCCTTATCATTTCCCGTTTATTAGATCTTTTGCTAGGTAAGTTAGTCACATTCGGTAATTCGGTCATTTAAACAAGTATGGGAAAAACATACTAGAGGAAATATAGTCCATGTTCATCATACATAAGTATAGTAAGGCAAGAAAATAACATTAAAAAGGCTTTGAAACATTTAGAGACAAATAACATAATATGACACAATTTCCAGCACTGTTCAGTTCTGCAGGGCTAACAAGAACGCTTTGGTAAAAATACTTCTAGGCCAAATTAGGGGCTGAAATTGCACAGAAACAATATTCAATCTGTCTAGTTTCAGTTCCAATTTTCAGAAGTTGCGCAGCCCCTCCACAAATTCATTTACAAACTATATTCGAAAATCTATCTAGATTTGTCACCCTTTGGGGAAACTAACGTTTCTCTCAATCTACCCGACGGTTTTTACTCAAATAAAATCTGTTGGAACGAGGACTCAGAGTTCTAAATTTTGACAGAAGAACCAACATGAGATGATTTTTCTAGAATTTTATAAAATTGATAAAAGTGGACTATTTTTCAGAGATTCAGGACCAGATTTTTCAACAAATTATCCAAGCCCTAAAAACACACAATTAGGAGCTAATAAAATTTTCACAAGCTCTAAACACATAAAATATCCTAAAATAAATTCAAATTTGAGAATTAGATAGATTTGATATTTCTTTTAAATTAGAGAAGTTGCAGCAGTGCCTAATTTCACAAGTTTGCAAGACAATGATACTATTTCATACCTACACCTTCACACACACCAAAAACACCCTATTTACCATCAATTTGTAACGCAAGAGGCATACTAGACCATACAATGAGATGATGAAAGGATTGGAGAAAATAAGGAAGAGGTGTGTTCTTACCTTCAAGAATTCCTTCTCTTTCCCCTTTTTTTTTTCCTTCTTCTTCTTAATTCTCTACCTCCTTTCCCTTGAGCCAACTCTCCCTCTCTCACCCTCTCCTTGGGCTTTAGAAAAACGTGGGAGTGGATTTGGACAAGCCCTCAATTTATATAATATAAGGTAGCTTAATGGCTAAGATAACTAAATATCTAGATAGTTATTTATTTATTTATTTTATTTTATTTTATTTTATTTTTGTTTGTTGTTATCCAATCACTTTTCCACCAACATATAAACTATGTATATATCCAAATAAACAATAGTATTCCATTCAAATAAATAATAAATGAAAGAACAACAAAAACCAAAAAAAAATAGAAATAAAATAAAATGTGTGAATTAATTTAGAAATTATGAGGCAAAATAAATAAAACCAAGTTTTAGGATAGTTCCAATCATAAAGTGGCGTTCTATGATTTAATTATGGTAACACACGGAGAAGTTATTATTTACTTGGGCCCTTACGCAGACTTTTACGGAACTAGGGCTAAAATGCTATTAGCCTAAGGCTCAGGGTTTCAAGTGTAATGACAAAAAAAATTAGGGTCTCTGCAGATTTGCAGCTTAGTGGCAGTTCGATTTAAAGCTTGGTTGACTGCTGATAACTCTTCTTCAAGTTGAGCTTTCTTCTCCATTAGTTGAGCTCGAAATTGGGAGACAGAAGAATGTTGATCCTTCAGTTCTGACACTTCAGCATGTATTTTGGAAACAAAACTCTGGTCTCTCAGCAATTTCTCATTTGCAGCCTTGGCAACATGGTAGATGTTGATATAAAAATCAATGGTGGCTGTCGCCTGAGATAAATGACTTGAAACAGTCATGTTGGATTGCTCAACAATCTTGCAGCACTGGAGGAAGCCATTCTTGATTATAGGCCTTTGTAAGGATTCAAAAGGAATCCTTGAAAAGGATGTCAGCAGCTCCAAATAGCTGTCCAGGTCTATTGAAGGCAAGAAAGTCCTACCACTGGAGGAAGAGCTCTCAAAAATTTCTAGTAAGGAATCAGTTAGAACTAATGGCTCAATTTCATTGCTAGCTGTTGGAGAGATAGAAGGTATGTCAAAGAGACTAGCTAGTCTAGCTTCAAAGATGTCCACCTCATCCATTGACATGGAAGATACAGAAAGAACTCTAGTAGAAAGAAGAAATGACTACATAGGAATAGGAGAAGAAGGTAAAGTATCCTTAGCAGTCTCTATAGTTTTCGCTACCAGTAGGTCGAGAGAAGAGGGACTGGAGCTAGGCAAAGATAATGAACAAGGAATTGGAAAGCTACCAGTGTCTTCTCTATGGAAATCAGCTATCACTGGAGATGATGTAATAGCTAGAATTTCCTCAGCTACCAGTGTCTTCTCTATGGAAATCAGCTATCACTGGAGATGATGTAATAGCTAGAATTTCCTCAGGAGGGGAAGGAGTAGCGAGACTTAAAGGGAGAGCAAATTGGGTAGAGCTGAAAGATAGGTGAGGAAAGTATGGAGTCAACCCAAAGGATGAAAGGTATGGAAAATATAGGGCCAGGAAGTGGGAGTATTGTTTGAATTGGTTCCATATTTTGGGGTTGTTCAACTTCAGTTGAAACTGAAGGAATCCTTATTGGAACAGAAAGCAAAGTAGTTGTCGCTGCAAAAGAAGAAATACAAAACAATGTTAAGTCCTAGTATCAAGAATTAAAGAAAAGAAAGTGGAGACATGAAAGGAAATTACTAGTTTCAGAGGTGATGGCAATGATGGGAGAACTACGAAGGGAATAATGCTCGGCAGTGTGTTGCCTTCTCGCAGTTTCCCTTTGGATTGTATCAGTAGCAGCTGCTTCATCCCTTAGTAGTTGCTGCTGTCGCCTTTTTTCAGCCCTTTGGAAAACAATTATTTCTTTAGAGTGTTCCTTCTCTACTGCTTTGACAACTGCCTCATGAGTAGGGTCATCGACCAAGTCAGAAGGAGAGACGGTCATCTTTTTTCTCTTTTTTCTCTACAGTGGTACTTCTTGCTTTTCCTCTGTCTCTTTCTCTTCAATCTGAGGCTCAGACTCCTCTAGAGTGAGTATTAGTTTTCTTTTCTTTTTCTGCTAGTGTTTGTCTTTGAGAATAGCCAGAGCTTCTACTCTTTTGGGAGATTCTTCTTGTGGAGACCCTACACCGAGAGGAAACCTAAAAATGCATACCTTTTTTTCGAAGTAGCTCTGGTAA